TCACTGGAATTTCCTTTTCAGATATACATTTTGTATTTCTTTAGCAGAGGGCCTTAGCTTAAACTTGAGTAGATATTCTCTCCTATTTGAACATATTTGCTAAATAATGAATGAGGACTTTGGGGATTAATTTTCATGAATGTGTGAGACTGGAAGAGAGAGGGAAACACAGCAACACTGTTTCACCTAGAGAGAAAAATCCCCTGCCGTGGGTGTGAACATGAGTATTCACACACAGAGCACCACAGTCACCAGCAGTGACGAGTGGCCTCCCCCAATTGCTTCACAGGCGGCCAACATCTAGAAGTGATGAACTGATGGACCCAAGAAGGCTATAGGGAGCTGATGTGAAATCCTTGCTCACCCATAGAAATATTAGAATATGATTTTTCAAGAGATTGAGTTCCTAATGAGAGCAAGCACAAGCTTCACGTCGGTCTCCAACTTGCACTTTCCTTTCTTTTGTGCAGTTTCTAAAAGATAAATTATATATTCATTGGGGTTAGCAGTGTGAAAGGAAATAGAATCTTGGGGCCCCAAACACACTATGACAAAAAACAGTTAAGCTTGGGAACGGACACTGTTTTCCTTTTGTTCCCAAATAGCTGTAATTTCACAACCCTGTGCCATAGCACCATCTTCTCTGCTCCCTCTTTTCATGCGGTTACTTTAGCTATGTCAAATGTAGTTGAGCACAGGACAATGCGTCATTGGCTTTTTCCCCTACTCCCTCTTCTTCTTATGTAAAATGTAGATTTACTGAAGCTAATCAGAGCCTCACAAGAATGTCACCATCTGCCTCACTGCCTATCCTCCCTCTCTTTTTTTCCTTCCTGCTTGCTTTTTTTCCTTAATACTGAAGTTCCAAAAGCTCCCTGTTGACAAAAAGAGTCAAACTGTAAAATGTTCGAAGATATTTATTCTGAGCCAAATACAAGTTATCAATGGCCTCTGACACATTCCCAGGAGATCCTGACAACCCGTACCCCAGGTGGCCAGCTACAGCTTGGTTTTATACATTTTAGGGAGTCATAAGGCATCAATCAATACATGTACAATGTACATTGGTTTGGTCCAGAAAGCCAAGACAACTAGAAGTGGGGCCTTCCAGGTCACAGATGGATTCAAACATTTTCTGATTGGTTGCATTATTATCTAAAGATCTGGAAACAATAGAAAGAAATGTCTGAGTTACGAAAAGATGTTGTGAAGAGCAAGGTTTTATCATGCAGATAAAACCTCCAGGTAGGAGGCTTCAGAAAGAACAGATTGTAAATGTTTCTTATCAGACTTAAAGAGTCTGTTTTATCAGTCCTAAAGTCTCTGTGTTGATATTAATGCTAGTCAGCTGTGCCTGAATTTCAAAAGGGAGGAAGGTATAATGAGGCACATCTGACTCCCATGATGGGAACATCATGGCCTGAACTAGTTTTTCAGGCTAACTTTGGAATGCCCTTGGTTGAGAGGAGGGGTTCATTCTGACGGCCGTGGGGCTTAGAATTTTATTTTTGGTTTACCTCCTTTTGTAAAAAAAACACAGGTCACAGATCCTCTTGGGACTTATAATTTCCCCAGGCATGTCTTTAACCTTGGCAAAATACCTCTCTATGGATTGAGACCTACCCCAGTCACTTTTTAGTTAACAGTAATAATACACATTGCTTCTGTTACATCAGTTAAAATGCCTGGCTTCAGGATTACATGCTCCAACCTTCTCAGTTTATGGTCACAGCTCAGAAGTTATGTCGCTTCCTCATGTTAAATCACACATCTAAGTTTAGAAGGAAGACCTGGATGGCTTTTGGGTTCTCTTAATTGGAACTTTATAAAAATTCCACATTCTTTGTCTATTCCTGCTGATCTGCAACTGGAAGTGCTATTAGTCAACAACATGGACACAAAGCAGCTAGTGCAATGGAAAAGGAAAGGAAATTAACATTTCCTAAGTGCCAACTATGTATAAAAACCTGTTCTAGGCAATTTGCATGTTAAACTTGCTTAGTCTTCATAACAACCCATGGGATAGTTGTTAATAGCACTGTCTTGTAGATCGATAACAAAGGCTCACAAAGGCAATTTACCGACTCAGTCAAGCAATTATTAAATGGTAGAACCAGACTATGACTCCAAGTCTGTCTGATTTAGATTCCTTACTGAAGAAGCCATAAAGCTCATCACCTGTCTTTGAATAATCTGGAAGCACCATGGACATAAAACCTTCTTGTGTCTGAGTTTCAAAGATCTGTAGATATCTCAAAGAAGTTCAAGTAACAAAAATATGTCAAACATCTCTCTAAAGTGCATATTTCCCAGAGTAAACCCAGTGGCTATTAAGATTTGGCTGGAGATTTTGCCAAACGATTGGAATGAACCCCCAAAAAAAGACAGCATGAAGAACTCTTAAATTGCTTTCACATGTATATCATTTTTATGTTAGCAAGGGGGCCACTTTTATCCTACAATCAGATAACCCAGGAAGTGATTTGGAATTCTTTTAAATATCTGTACCATCCTCAGGGCAGGACACAAGGGCAAAACTATTATTTTGATTCATGTGAAAAGACCAGAATGGACTCTAGGCAGTATTGAGCTCTTTAGCTTCCAATCTGAACAGCACAGGAAGTAGCTAAAGATTAACAAAGTAAGCAAACTTGTTTGCTGTACAAACTATGCATAAGTTTGAGGCCAACTTCAGGAATTCTGAACCCTCAGGCTGTGCTATGTAGTTTCCATAACAACTAGTGACAGAAAATGAGGCAAACAGACGTGACTCACACAAAATGTTTCGGTCCAGTTCTGAGAGGCCAAATTTGGTCATTGAAGACCTTTAAAGAATAGAGTCATCTCTGTCTTACTAATCACATTCAAAGGGCAAAATGTTCCTCAGTAAGAACGGCTGTCTCCATGGGCCACCAAGGAAGTCTATTCAATCATCAGTGCAGAACAATGGGGAGTCCCTATTGTTCACACATGGCTACTCCCTGCCAAGTTCCCTCTGTAAAGGGGCGTTCGAGAACCTCAGAGTGTTACTGCTTGATTGTTTTGTACATGGTGACTGAGTGCAGTTAGGTCCACAGAGGATTGGGCAGCAAGCTGGTGTCATGTTTTGATGGTTGGGTCAGCATTGCTTCATGGACTGGATTCACCTGCAGTGAATCAGGGGTGGGGCAGCGGGGGTAAGGAAGAAAATAAGGGGGCTCTTCTTGATATCCTTAAAAAATGTCTGTAGGTCACAGCAGTGTGCAAACCACTTCCCCCCATCCCTCGTCCTGCAACTACCACAAGTCTGTGTAAAGGCTGCCTCTCTTATTTCATGCCTCACTGACCTGTTTTATTATATCCCAAGGACTTTGTGCACAGCCTCACTCTCAGACAGGTTCTTTGCTCATTTGCCCTTCCCTCTACTCCTTCCATTAATTTCATTCTTTGCACCTCCCTCTACTCCTTGCATTAATTTCATCCTTTCCCACCATCCCCTTAATGCTTGTTGGGACCACGTTTCTCTCTCTTTTTTGAGACAGGGTCTCACTCTCACCCAGGCTGCAGTACAGTGGCATGATCTTGGCTCACTGGAGACTCAACCTCCCAGGCTCAAGTGATCGTCCCACATCATCCTTCTGGGTAGCTGGGACTACAGGTGCACAACTACAGGATAATTTTTGTAATTTTTGTAGAGACAGGGTCTTGAAATGTTGCTCAGGCTGGTCTCGAACTCTTGGACTCAAGAGATGCTGCTCTCTGGGCTTCCCAAAGTGCTGGGATTACAGGTGTGAAACACTGCACCTGGCCACATTTCTCTTATTCTCTCCATTTCTACTTTTGTTCTTTATCCTATCTGTTTCCCACACAGCAATTCAAATGAGCTTTTAAAACTATGGACCCACTTTGCCATTTTTCCCTTTGAAATGCTTCACTGACTTTGCACTACTCTTAGAGTAATAAAAACTGCAGGAGCTCCACCCCACGCACCAGGTTGACTTCCACTCCTAAAGCCACCAGGCTACTTTGGTCTCAGCCTTTTTTTTTTTTTCAGAGATGGAGTCTCACTCTGTTGCCCAGGTTGAAGTGCAGAGGTGCAATCTGAGCTCACTGAAACCTCCGCCCCCCGGGTTCAAGCGATTCTCTTGCCTCAGCCTCCCGAGCAGCTGGGACTACAGGCGCCTGCCACTGTGCCCGGCTAATTTTAATTTTTTTGTATTTTTAGTAGAGACAGGGTTTCACTGTGTTAGCCAGGATGGTCTCGATCTCTAGGCCTCGTGATCTGCCTGCTTCGGCCTCCCAAAGTGCTGGGTTTACAAGAGTGAGCCACCACGCCCGGCCTGGTCTCAGCCTTTTGCACACCCAGATCCTTGTGTCACTTCCTCCCATTTTTCACCTGGCTGACTCAATCTTTCCCTCTCACTTTTAATACCTTTATTTTCAGTGAGGACCCATGTAAACATAGTGGAAGACGGTAGAAAAGTGGAGTGATGCCTACTCCTAGGTACTTCCTTTGTCCTCAGGTAGAGACTTCCAAAGTACACCACACAAGAGACATCCCTTATTTCACAATTTTTGAAACCTGTTGAATCACTGAGTAGGCTATTCAGGGAAGGTTGGTGATGCAAGCTCCTTATTATCCCATGCGCAGAGGAAGCTAACACACTTGCTCTGGCTAATTCTGGTCTTGAATCATTTCCTGTTAGCTCTTGAGACTCCTTGCGTGTGGTACCAGCTTGCTGAGCAATGATCTCAGTTTACAGCAGGTTGCTTTGGCCTCTGGGATGTCAGTCCTGTGTGGCAGAGCCATGATCCAAGGAGGTTTCCCAGGAAAGCCCTGGGATTTGGAATTGGTGAGTCAGTTGAGACTGATCAAAATCAGTGTGTCAGAGAGACGCTGTCTGAAAAATATGCTGCATGGTGATAAAATGTCTTTTTCCCCCCTTAGAGCAATGTTAAAATTACAAAACAGAAATTCATTCCGAAGAAATTCTAATAATAAAAGATGAAAATGGAAGTACTTGGAACCTGAATTTTTTTTTTTTTTTTTTTTTTGATACCTTAAGGTTTAAATCAGAGTACGGAAGGAGTGGAAATTCTTGGACTAGTTACTTATAGGCTCATGTATAGAAGAGCAAGCCTCTGAAATAGGCAAAAATCTCTCCATCATTCCAGTAAGGAGAATGAAGCCAAGAGAGGTTAAACGACGTGCCCACTGTCACAGAGCCAGCAAATGATGCACCACGATGGGTCCCCAGAGCCCAGGCTCATGCAGGCTTATGCAGGGGCCAAGAGGGTTCTGAGTGCTGTGTTCCCTGGAGAATACAGGCTTCCTATAAACCAAAAGAAACATTTATATACATAGCCAGTATATTCAAAATGCTGGGAAATCACACAGAGATCTGTTTTCTTTTCTAAAATATTAAGTTGGAATAATTGGAACAAAATGTGCCATTCTCTTCATTGGATAACATGTTTTAGTATAAATCATATAAAGTTGGCATTTTTGTAACTCAAAAGCAGTGAAACATTGGCAATGTGAAATTGCGTTTGTCTTTGAATTGACTGTCTCTCCTGATTCTACTGTATTTTATCTCTGGTTTTAGCTCTCAGCACATTACCAAGTACGTAGGAAAAACCCAGGAAATGTTTATTGAAGAAATGAACAAAATGAGATTCTGTTATCTAAGATACAGACAGCCTTGTGTGTTATACTTCTTACACAGACGTGACATTTTAATAAAATAGATGGTAGCTTTATAAGGGCCTCTTGATAGAGAGGGATGTATGTAGGCTTTGGCAACAACAAGAGAAGTCAGATTTTCACCTTCAGTACTTACTATGTGAGACCATGGACAAATTACTTAGCCACTCTGACAGCATTTCCTCCTTTCACAATGGGAATGATGATAGATACCTTCAAAGATTATTATGAGAATCAAGTGAGATTATGCTTATACTGAATCAGTCTTACAGTAGGCACTCAGCAAATGTTATTCTTGATTCCAAATCCTGCTATTAGGTTACCACTTAATTCTTCACATAAAAACGTCGAGTTTTAGAAAGGTTGTTTTTTTAGTGCTGGCTTCAGCTAAGCAGTGCTGACTAAAATGCTTCTTAAGAAATAAACGTTTTTTGAATTATTTTTTAAACATCATTCAAATGAAAATATACAATGAAGCAGCATTTCTCAAGTATTAATGACATGAATGCCTTACAGTATAAATACAGCATAGTAATATCAACAGATTGAAGAAAGTAAAAATTCTAGTTGCTTTTCCTTTTTGGGAGAGGCATCTGTGTAATAAGAAATTCTATTTTAATACTGAGAAATGGTAAACTTCCTGTGTTCTAGTTCATTATTATTGCCCCGCCCTTTGAAGATGATAATGGTCTGCAAAACAGAGCTATTTTGGTACCAAGTAAAGCTGCAAAATATCCCTCTCAGCAAAATTGAAGGAGAGGCAAGGAAAAAGCGTTTATGTTTGCAATTAACTGGGTCTCTTTTGATATTAAATAGTAAGAAAAACAAAGTTTTTGTTGATCTAAAACAATTTGGTATTTTAGGAAAAGAACAATTCACATGGAAAAATGTATTCAATTTTGTTTTGCTGCCATGTATGAAGATATTCTTAGTGAAAAAAAATGTAATGTGCATTCCCTATAGGAGGAGATTTTCTTTGGCTTGTCTTTATTATTGTTTATTTTTGTTTTTGTCTCAGATCTTAACATAGCTTTAACCACTTCCTTTTCCAGGGGTTACAATTTTGTTTATTCATAGAACTGAAGTTCAGTACCTTCTCCTTTTATTCTTTAGAATTCCACAAATATTTATTGATCATTACAATGTACATGACACAGGCCTAGACTCAGGGGGACCCAGTGACCTACCAGAAAAAAAAGTGTTTTCCTTCATCAAGTTTATATTGGAGGTAATTTCTGCCACCCTGATCATTATCATCTATGTTAATTTATATTTTATTATAATTCATGGTGACACAATGCTAAAATGACCTGGTTTGTTATTATATATATATATTTTTGAGATGGAGTTTCGCTCTTGTGGCCCAGGCTAGAGTGTAGTGGCACGATCTCGGCTCACTGCAACCTCCACCTCTCGGGTTCAAGTGATTCTCCTGCCTCAGCTTTCTGAGTAACTTGGATTATAGGCATCTGCCACCATGTCCAGTTAATTTTTGTATTTTTAGTAGAGACGGGGTTTCGCCATGTTGCCAGGCTGGGTGTAGCGGCTCATGCCTGCAATTCCAGCACTTTGGGAGCCCGAGGCAGGCGGATTACCTGAGGTCAGGACTTCGAGACCAGCCTGGCAACATGGCACAGTGGCTGGCACCTGCAATCCCAGCACTTTGGAAGGCCAAAGTGGTTGCGAGCCACTGCACCAGGCCTGCCATAATACTTTAAGTTCAATTCAAATTCAATGGAGCACGTATTTAAGGCCCAACTCTATAACAGACACCATCTAGGGGTTTGGATGAATGGGACCAAGTCCTGCCCTCTAGGAGCCTTCAGTTCATTGAGGAAAAAGACTTGGAGAGAAAGATTTGCCAGGAGTGGAGAGAAAAATGGCACTGATGCCCCATCCTGAAATTGAGGAGATATAATCACAGGGAAGACATTTTACTTAGCTCATAGAAATGTAGAGGATTTGAATAAGAGTGTGGAAAGGGAACAGTATTTCAGGGCTGAGACCGTAGCCTTGCAGTTCTAAGCTTTGGTTTGCAGAGCAGCAGCTTTGGCATTACCTGGGAGCTTGTTGGAAATGCAGATGCTCAGGCCTCAGGGCACACTTTCCAGACCAAATCAGAATTTACATTTTAGCAAGACCCCTGGGTGATTTGTAGATGCTTTAAAATTTGAGATGCACGGGGCTAGAACACAGAGGATGAAAAGTCGGGGCCTGTTGGAAGATGGTAACCTGGGCCAATGTGGTTGGAGCACAGACTCCCAGGCAGGGTGCAAGGAGGAGGCTGGAGAAGCAGAGGGAGAAAATGCTGCAGTGGAATCCAAGTAGGATTCTTCAAACTAGGTGGGAGTGAACTCTAGGTAATCAATGCTTTCTCCTGGAAACATTAACCGCTTCCTCCTCTGATTGATGATTGTATTTTTCTTTGGTTGTACTTGCTGCCCGTTACAATGATTGATCTATGTGTCTGCCTTCCTCCCTCCTCCCACTTTCCCCTGACCCCACCATTGATATTTTAAAACAAACCTATTTGTCTTTGCATCTCTTGAACCTGGTGCTCAAGAAATAACCGAACTGAACTGAGTTGTGACTATGAACCACTGAGTCACACCGTAGCCTATCCTCACATTTATAATTCAGTATTGTAGACCAGACAGAGTTGTCAATCACTCATTAATTCACTTGTTCAACAACTGTTCATGGCATGCCAGGCACTTTCTACCTTCCCCGTCTGGTTCCTGAGAATATCTCCTTGCCACCACCTCTCAGCACCCTGGTCCCTCAGACCATCCAACCACTCTGAACAAAGCACATGACTACAGATCCCATCAGCAGCAGCAAGCTCTGCTTACCAAGCACCTTCTCAATAGAAAATGAGATTTCTGCTTCCACTGACACATAAAAAGATTACTAGCATTAATGGCAGAAGATGCCAGTGCCCATGGATGATGGAAACAGCACTCGCTGTACTTAGTAAGAGCTAAAATCCTCAGAAAAATCTTTCTAAGTTCTGGGCCAGGACAGAGGAAGAATGGTATTCAAGCAACAAGAAGAGCAAGGGCAGCCAGGAGCGGTGACTTACGCCTGTAATCTCAGCACCTTGGGAGGCCAAGGCAAGTGGATCACAAGGTCAGGAGATCCAGAACATCTTGGTCAACATGATGAAACCCCGTCTCTACTAAAAACACAAAAATTAGCAAAGCGTGGTGGCATACGTCTGTAGTCCCAGCTACTCTGGAGGCTGAGGCAAGATAATTGGTTGAACCAGGGAGGCAGAGGTTGCAGTGAGCCGAGATAGCACCACTGCACTTCAGCCTTGGTGACAAGAGTGAAACTCTGTCTCAAAAAAAAACAAAACAAAACAAAACAAAAAAGGGCAAGGGCATTCCAGGAACATAGAATGGGAATAAATATAAAATCCAAGATAATGTTTAGGGGAGTGTGGGAAGAGGGATCAGAGCACACAGATCTTCAGATATATTAAAAAAGGTCTAGTCTTAATCTAGATAGTGTTTTTTATAGTAGACTTTAACCTGAACCTATATTTTATATTTCTCCTTTATACATATGGTATATTCTATATATTTCTAAAAATCAAATATAAATAAGGCAGAAAAAGAAAATGAAGCAGCAGGAATGCTTTGTAACAAGCTAGTTAACCTGGCCTGTGACAGATGCTGAAGAAAGTTTTTTTTTTTATTGAGTCCACATTTATTTATTTATTTATTTATGCTTTTGAAACAGAGTCTCGCTCTGTTGCAGTGATGGCGTGACCATGCTCACTCCAACCTCAACCTTCTAGGCTCAAGCAATCTTGATCCTCCCACCTTAGCCTCCCGAGTAGCTGGGACTACAGGTGCACACCACCATACCCAGCTAATTTTTGTATTTTTTGTAGAGACAGGGTTTTGCCACATTGCCCAGGCTGGTCTTGAACTTCTGGACTCAAGTAACTTACCTACTGTGGCCTCCCAAAGTGCTGGGATTATAGGCATGAGCCACTGTGGTTGGCCAGTCCATGTTAAAGCAATTGCTTTAGGTGGGTTTAGAGAGACCAGATTACAATGGGTCTTGAATGCCCAGTTAAGGAAGTTGGACTTAATACTGTAGGCAATGGGTAGACTTTGAAAGTGCTGAGCAGGGAAGTTACGTGTGTAGAGTGGCAGTTTAGAAAGCTAAATCTAGCTGTAATATAAAAGACATACTGAAGGGTAAGAGCAGAAGGCAGTGAACTCCTTTAGCCATTGCAACACTCTAATGGAAGATGGTAGAGGCCCAGTGAAGGTGACTATGAACCTGGGGGGAAACGATTAACTGGAAAATCAAAATGCAGAGGATTAAGCCAATACATCTCCAAATTCTGGTGATACTTTTTCCCTAATTACCTCTAACACTCAACTACATTCCATCTCTTCTTCATATACTCTAATCTAGACAACTATAGCATCTACCTAAAGCGTGTTATGCTCTCTACCCTCCGGTTCTTCCCCAAAATGCTGCCAGCTTGACCTTTTAAAAACAAGAATAAAAATACAGATATTCTCTAGCTTGAAAGTCTACAATGGCTCTATTAGTATTACCTATAACACAATGTAGACTCTAACCCAGCCTCAAGTGCTTCGGCCCTGCCTGTCTCCATTTCCAGCTCATGCTATTGTTTCTCCTGCTCTCTGAGTTCAAGCAACATTGTTCCAGAAAATTGCTCTAATTTTATGGAGCATATTATGCTTTTTCCAAAATAGAATCTTGTTCTAAACTAGTTCCCCCCTTTAAAATGCTCCCTTCTCCAACTTTTGCCAGGATAACGTCTCATCCTTTTCATTGTGGGTTATAATGCAGGTGAGTGTAATCTTAGTCCCCCTGTAAGCCTGTAAATCTGCAATATTTTAAAGGTCACTAAATAATTTGGAAATTGAATGATGCTAATATTTCTTAAACAAAGAATTCTTTTTTGAATTACTATGCTTTGTTACTGAAATTCAAACCACATTTGTTTAACTTCTTTTTTTAAATTGTAGTTTTATTTACCACTTCAACTATATTTAGGTAAATAGTTTATGGGCATAAAGTACATTTAAATGCTGAGAAATTATCATCTAACTCCAGAGCTCTTTTGTTTTCCCAAACTGAAATGCTGTATCCACTAAACACTAACCCCCCATTTCTCCTCTCCCGAGCCCAGCCTCTATGAATTTGGCCACTCTAGGTATCTCATATAAGTGGAATCATGCAGTATTTGCTCTTTTATGATTGATTTATTTCACTTTGCAATAATGTCTTCAAGGTTGACCCATGTTGTAGCTTGTGTTAGAATTCTCTTCCTCTTTAAGGATGGATCATATTCCATTGTATGTATATATCATTTTTTGTTTATCCATTCATCTGTTGATGAACATGGGTGTTGTTCTCACATTTAGAGTATCGTGAATAATGCTGCTATGAACACAGGTGCATCTACTCATGTTCCTAATTTCATTTTTTTATATATTACCAGCAGTGGAATTACGGGATTTCTGTGATAATTCTATGCTTCATGTTTTGAGGAGCTGCTGAACTGTTTTCCACAATGGTTGCACCATTTTACAATCCCGTCAGCAGTGCACAGTGGATCCAATTTCTCCATCTTCTCTTCAGTACTTCTTTTCCTTTTTTTTGGTAGCCATCCTAATGAATGGAGCCCATACCACATTTTGTAACACAGTTATAAATTTAGGAATTAGAAGTCCTGTCATCTCATTTAGTTCTAGTCTCTTATGATCCAGAAGAAGCTGAAACCCAGAATGTTAAGTGACTTATCCCGTGTCACCTATCAGAAGGGGGCTAGAACCATAGAACCTTGCCTATGTTTAATGGAGCCTTTTAGACATGGTACACAACACTAGGGGAAAAAAAGCACTTAAGCATCAGACTTGGGAATACATCAGAAGTGAAATAAAATCATATGTGAAATTGAGATAGCAGTCTGACTTTGTACTCTCCTACCTTACGAAGTTAGACTGGCACCAGAAAAGTTGGTGAACCTCCAGAGCTTCAGTTTCCTGATCTATCAGATGCACATAATAATACTTGCCTTGTAGAAATTTTGAAAAGATTAAATTAAATTATTCAAAATCCTATATAGTCCTGAAGCAACTTAGACATTGAAAAAATATTCCTTCCCCCGCCAACATCTAGCATAATTTGGGATACATGTTAGGTGCTAAACCAACACTTACTAATTTGACTTGCTTTGACAACAGAGTCTAAAACTGCTTTAGGCTTCAGATTTATTCTGGCAATTTATTTCCAATTTAGGGTGGGTGCTAACAAAAGGTCAGAGGAATAACAAAAGCAGATGGTCTTCCTGAAGCGTGTGCCAAAAGGATTTGTGAGTGTCTTGGGGTGACGTCTCCACCCATCGCAAGGCTTGGAGGCTCAAGGGCAGATCCCCAACATTGTACCGGTCCCTTCCTGAGCACTCCCTGGTGCAGACTCCAAGTCTGACAAGGAAAATGTGCTGTGATCATCGTACGGGGGACAGAGCAGCTGCTCCAAGGTGGAGTCTATTGTCAAGGTCCTCCTGGTAACAAAAAGAGGAAAAGGTCTATCAAAGCATTTCCTGCCCGCAGGAGCCACGTGCTTCCATTAATTCTTTTCCCTGAGTCAGTCTGTCTCCCTCAGCTCATGTCTCTCCATGTCCACTGTCCAAGGAAAAGAAAAGGCATTTTTAGCAGTTGATTTAAAAACCTTTCCACAAAGTAAGGTTAACAAGAGGAACAAGTTCAGATATTCAGTGGCATGCATCTATATATTTCATAAGGAAGCTGGCACTAAGAAAGGGTGGTTTATGGCAGTTACGATTTTTCAGAAATCTGCTCATGCCTTTCAACTGCTTTGGCACCGCTGTAGGTACCTGAGGATAAGAGAGACGTCTCCACCATTCCTGCACCATCCATAAATTACAGAAAAACCACAGTAAATATTCTCTGAATATTACATTAGTAACATTCACATTACAGAAAAAATTAGCTAGTGATGGGAGTGAGTAAAACAGTATTTCTGAATGAGTGCCTGAGTTTGGCGAATCAAATTTGCTAGCCATAGGAGTCAATAAAAACATATTTCTGAATGCGTGACTGAGTTTCATGAACTAATCTGCGTCTTAGCTCAGGGAAGGAGGCCTGGAGTGTGACTCTCATGAATAAGGTAAAATGTGGTCATTTATAGTGTACCCTGTTCCAGAAAAGATAACGTCACAAAGAAAGAGGATGGTGAGTATGGTGTCTACAGAGTAGAGAGAAAGATAGAATTTGACAAATGCTTATCCAGCACTGTTATGATGACAGCCTCTAACTGCTAACATGGCAGATTGCAAAAAACGGTGGGAGAGAGTTGAGATGCCCTGGCTGGCCAATGACCTGCCAATCGGACAGATGAGTGAAGTCATCCTATGTCACCCAGCTACCAACTGACCACAGATGTCTGAGGGAGCTCAGCAGACAATGGCCCTGGCCAGAAGAACCCAAGCTAACCCACAGAATCATGAGTTAAATTGAATGCTTGTCATTTTAAGTTGCTAAGTATTGGGGCAGCTTGTCATGCAGCAATGTTGTAGTGGTCAGTAGCTAAGAGGTCTGTGCTGTGAAGCTAATCCTTCAAACCTTGCCAAAGCCAGGGAGAAATCATCTTCAAGACTCTTGATCTTGCTTGCCTTTCACTTATAAATTTTCCTCCTCCTTGGCACTTAAATTTTTCCCATGGATGAATAAATTAACGGTGCTAAGTTATTCATTTATTTATTTATTATGTTTTGAGACAGGGTCTCACTCTGTCACGCAGACTGGAGTGCGGTGGCATGGTCCTGGCTCACTGCAGCCTCTAGTTCCTGGGCTCAAGCAATCCTCCCACCTCAGCCAGGCCCCCAAGAAGCTGGGACCATAGGCACGTGGCACCACACCCAGCTAATTTTAAATTTTTTTTGTAGAGATGAATGTTACTATGTTACCCAGGTTGGCCTTAAACTCCTAGGCTCAAGAAATCCTCCCACCTTGGCCTCCCAAAGTACAGAGGTTACAAGTGTGAGCCACCAAGCCTGGTCCTTGTTCATGTTGCAGGCTGTGAGTTTAGCTGGCATAAGTAAGTCTTCCCATCTCTCAACCACGGTGCCTAGAGTATTGAATTTCTGGTGTTTCTTAGCTGAAAAGCAGAGTTTTGAGTGGTTATGCCTCTGGCATGCACTTGTCCTGCCCAAGCAACCAGCTCTATCTTATTTGTGTGGAATTTTTACAAACCTCTCTAATAGCAAAAATGAGCCCCTAAAATTGAAAGAGAAAAACTTAACCAGTCTCTTATACCAATTTAAAATTTTTTAAAGGTATAAAGGAATAGTAACTGAAATACTTATGAAATCTATTCAATATATACAGAATCTTGGTTTTGACGTCCCTCAAGGATGATGGAGAGTCCACATGCCAGGCTAGATAATCACTGAAGAATCCCAGGCCTCTTTGATCCTGTAAACAAGGTGAGGAGGTAGGTATCTTCATCTTCCAACTATATATAGAATGAAATGACGACACTGGCTTATGTCTACTCAGTGCGATCATATGATCATTAACAATGAAAAGTTAAAAACTAGACATTCAGATTGTTATTTTGGCTGCATGCTATCCCACCCTTGCTTGGCTAATTTATTTTAGTCAATTGATTTTATTAAGTTATTTTTCTGTGTCAAAGTAATAGGGTCTTCGGAGTTGATATGATATATATTTAGTAATTTTTTTTCAAATTGAAATTAGATAATAGTCAATGGCATTTGATCTCCAACAACATAGTGCAGGGCTCTCTCTATTCCACCAAGATTCCCACACTTCTTGAGTGCAGATTATGAAGCCTTCTAAATCCATTCTATTCATGCTGAAATTCTTACTATATAAGGTAAGATAGATAGAATTATTTTCGTGACCAGCACAGCCTTTTTCCTCGTATATCACTTAGAGATTTTTAACCTTCAGAGAATTGCTCCCTTCCCTCCTTTCACTCACCCAAATGAAATGCCCGGCACTGTGACATATGACCCTGAAGCTGGAAGGAGAATAGGAGAAAACAATACGAGAACTTGTTCACTTCCACTGAACATTTGAAGCCATTCCTGTATAATGAAAAGCAAACAAAGTTTTTAGAGGCAGAAATGCACCATTGCACAATGCCATTTCGACATGGCTCTTTCAGCATGAACTGTGGTTCATCCCCGGGTTCAGCTATTTAATACTAATGGAACACTGTTGACTTAGCCCTCCTTAGAGATGCTGAAGAGACAAAAAGAGTATAGATGCTGACTTCAGGGTTAATAAACAAATACCTTATTTTTAAGGGATATTTTTGTGTTCATGTTCAAAAAACACTTGTGAGGAACTTACCCCATACCAGAGTCTGTGCAAGAAGTTTGTAGCATTCAACCATGAGTAAAATGCTCTCCTGGTCCCCAAGGACCTTACCCTCACAGATATCATACTTAACTTGTGGGTGTTTTCACATATGTTGCCTTACGTTATGCTTACAACAAGCAAGAGAAAGAAATGCAAAGGTGTTATGAGCTGAACTCTGTTCCCCCAACCAAAATTTACATGTTGCGGTCTTAATCCCCAGTACTTCAGAATGCAACTGCATTTAGAGACAGGGCCTTGAAAGAGGTACGTAAGTTAGACTAGAGTATTTAAAGTGGGCCCAAATTCAATGGAACTAGTGCCCTTATAAGAAGAGGAGATTAGGATACAGACACACACAGAGGGAAGACCATGTGAAGACGCAGGGGGAAGATGGCCATGTACAAGCCAAGAAGAAACCAGCTCAGCTGACAGCTTGATCTCAGACTTTCCCCCTCCAGAACTGTGAAGAGGTAAGTTTCTGTTGTTTAAGCCACCCAACTGGTGGTACCTTGTTACAGAAATCTTAGTAAACTAATTCAGAAGGTATTATTATCCCTATTTTATACCTGTTAAAGTGAGGTTATAAGACATTAAGTAATTTACTCAAAATTTGCACATACCTCATAAATGGCTGAGGCAGGATTAGAATCCAGGTCTTCATAAACCCTATAAACTCCTCTACTGATCTTTCTACTGCCTACCACGCTGTACGCACATCGAACTATCCCACTATCTAACAGCCAAGACCAGGGCTAGGAAAAATTAAGATGTTTTTCTTCAGTGAACTACCACCTTTGCTTGTTTTCTTCCTTATCAATTTCAGATGTTCTCTATCCTTGGTTTCAATCTTTCTGTTCTTCTGCCACTCTCCCTTTATGATTAAAACCACATGATCTCAGTGGAAGATATTTGCTGTTAGGAAGAAAGTGTTTTGTTAAATGTTGGTATTCTAGTTTATAGAAGTGACTGCTAGTGATAAGTGCTACCCATTCTTTTTTTTTTTTTTTTTTGACAGAGTCTCACGCTGTTGCCCAGGCTGGAGTTCAGTGGTGCAATCACAGCTCACTGCAGTGTTGACCTCCCAGGATCAAGGAATCCTCCTACCTCAGCCTCACCATGCTTGTATTTTTTTGTAGACAGGGTTTTGTCATGTTGCCCTGGCTGGTCTTGAACTCGTGAGCTTGAGTGATCCTCCTGCCTTGGCATCCCAAAGTGCTGGGATTACAAGCGTGAGTCATCATGCCCAGCCTAATTCTTACTTTTTAAAAGGCAAATTTCTCTGGACTAAGAAATGAATCTCCATAATAGCAGGCAAGTGGTAAATATATTTAGGGGGTATAGCCCTTACATTCTTTGGGAAAATGTGTTTTCATTGATGCAACTGTATGCTTTATGGGAGCCTAATGGGAGTTAGATAATGATATGATCATTCTGAGTTGGTAAGATTTCTTAAAACAAATACAATTTAGAGTAAAATAAAAATAATGGTATTATTTGAATTAGAGATAATAGGAATATGGTATTCCACAATAAAGTCCTAGTCACATTTTGCTGCAATTGTTCAGTCCGAAAGGTATCGAGGCCTGCAATATGCCTGGGAACACGTGGATGAACTGAAATGAGCCATGTCCTCACGCCGTGCACAGTTTGTGATTTTAATCTGGGTCAGTGCTTCTCAATATGACTGAGCAGCAAAATCACCTGGGGAGTGATTGAAGCATGGAGCTAGCAGGTATCCAGCCCCAGAAACTCTGAATCACTAAGTCCAAAGGCCTGGATTTTTAAAAGTCCCCAAGGAGACTGTGGTGAGAGTAGGCCTGGAAACAGTTGCACTGCCCTAGGTATTCTGCAATGTCAGGGGAAGATGGTCCTCACACACAGCATTTCAGACACTGTGGCTGCCAGTACACTTCAGGATCCCTGGGCTTCTCTGGAATCTTTCAGATGATAAAACCTGGGCATAAATAATGAACATAGACAAATTGCAAAAAAATTAAAAGGAAAGGTAGTGGTAAGAAACAGAAGCTTTCTTTCTGGTCAAACATACATGTATCAGGGTAGATAAATATCAGACTGAAATTCAAGACAGAAAAATCCCAGAATGAACTAATAAACAAAAATACATACTGTAATTATTCTTCTCAAAATATATTTATTTTTGGAGGGTATCTGTATTAGTCTGTTTTTACACTACTATAAAGATACTACCTGAGACTGGGTAATTTATAAACAAAAGAGGTTTAATTGACTCACAGTTCCACATGGCTGGGGAGGCCTCAGGAAACTTACAATCATGGCAGAAGGTGAAAGGGAAGCAAGGCACGTCTTACATGGTGGCAGGAGAGAGAGAGGTCAGAGAAACTGCCACTTTTAAACCATCAGCTCTCATGAAAACTCTCTCGCTATCACAAGAACAGCTTTGGGGAAACCCTCTCCATGATCCAATTACCTTCCACAGGTCCCTCCCTCAACCTGTGGGGTTACAATTTAAGAGGAGATTTGGGTGGGGACACAGAGCCAAACCCTATCAGTATCATTTTCAATTAATGACAGAATTAATACGGTAAGACAAATTCTAACTAATGCCATGAAATCAAACCGTCTTTCTTGGTCTTTATATTGTGAAGTGCTACCAACAGAAGAGCCAATGTAACATAAGAAATGGTTCCATATATCTCATGTTCTTTGTAGTTGACTGTAGAGCTTTGTACAAATACCTAGTACTAAAAACAATGCCTGGAGAGTTTGGGATCAAGAATTTCTATTTTTAAAACTTTACAGATGAATACAATTCTCACCAACAGTGGAGACTGTCTCATTGACTCTGTCATTGCTTGGCTATGGAAGAGATCATCAAAATATTGACAGCCAGCCAGCCCTGGCACAGGCACCAACCACCCAGAATGGAGGCAGGCTATTAAAAAGCACAGGTATATGTACAAAAAGTAATTTTCCTCACATTGTGCCTTCAGCAACCACTGGCTAAATATGAAAACTTTTAAATTAGGCCTTTATCATACTTAAGAGAAATTCCTATCATATATGGAATACCAACTGGTCCAGAAAAAAAATCCTATCACGTAAAATGGCACAGTTGCTATTTCCCATTGATGTAGAATATAAGAGCTGATAAAGGTCACAGACAGCATCCATCTGGTCTAGCTGTTTTTTTTTTTTTTCCTTACAGATGAAACCCAGAGATAAAAAAGGAATTTGTCTAAGTCAGGGTCGGGAAAAACCCCAGAATTCCAGGCTCAGTCTGGGGTTGTTTGCTCAACACGATGCTATTGTCCACAGATGAGGAAAAAAAAGCTCAGGGAAAAAAGCTGATATGCTCCTGGTAGGACTATGTATCTCTAGTGTGTGTGTGTGTGCGCGCGCATGACTGTGTGTGTGTGTGTGCGCATGTGTGCATATGTGTGTGCATGAATATGTGCATGTGTATGTGTATGTGTGTGTGTGTGTGTTCTTGCTTTTGTGTGTGTAAGGAGTACAGAGGGGAGAAAGCAGCTACACTGAAAGTCTTCTGATTACTCATCCACTTTTAATTGAAACAACAACAACAACAACACTGCTAAACCTTATTGGGACAGGATGCTTATTTCCAAAGCTCTGTAACATAGTTTTACCAATACTTTGCTGAACCATATCCACTGTCAGTGTGTATAGACATTGAAATAGAACATATTTGTGTTACCCATGATAATCACTTAAAATATCTGGAAACTGTTTGCAGAAGAGTTTTTCAAGAGAAAAAGAGGTATAACCATTTATTTATAATACTTGTTAAATAATAAGACTCATTATAAGGATCAGGTGTAGTCACAATTTCTTAAATATGTAATTAGGCAATATATTAGTTGCTGTTTCCACAACCTGGCCTCACGATGCTTTTCTTCGTAATCTTTTACTTCTGTTTTGTCTTCAGCTGCCACATTGCTGCCCATTGTTATTGAACTGCAACCTCTATAGCTTTTCATTCAGTGTGAGGCTACAGAGTTCTGCAGAATCTAAGTCCAACTGCTAGATGGTGGATTATTTTTCAAGCTATTAACTGTATCTTTTCCTAGGACTCAATACACAGTAGCTAGACAGTAAATGTTACTTATCTATTTAAAGCTCTTAATGTTTCTTTATTTCCTCCAGAATAAAATTAATACTTACACTTGTCATTTAAGGCCCAGCTGCCTTTCTTTTGTTCAAGATGGAGTCTCACTCTGTAGCCCAGGCTGGAGTACAGTGGCGCGATCTTGGCTCACTGCAACTTCTGCCTCCCAGGCTCAAGTGATTCTCATGCCTCAGCCTCTCAAGTAGCTAGGATTACAGGCACGCACCACCACACCCTGCTAATTTTGGTGTTTTTTAGTAGTTTAGTAGAGACAGGGTTTCATCATGTTGGCAAGGCTGGTCTCAAACTCCTGACCACAAGTGTTCTGCCTGCCTCATCCTCCCAAAGTGCTGGGATTACAGGCATGAGCCACCGTACCTGGCCCTGGCTGCCTTTCTAATTATTAGTTGGGAATGCTTAGGCCTCTAGTCAGACTGAACTGCCTGCAGATTTTCAAACACTTTTTCCTGCCTCCTTGTCTTTGCAAATGCTATAGGCATAGACTGAAATGAATTTTTTTCTCTCAACTCCCCCAGCTCCTACTTTCAAACAGAGAAAATTCTCTGTGGAATTTGCTAG